GTAACTCTCTGAGACTCCTTGCCAAGTTTTGCAGATATTGGCCTGTCAGCTCTCCAACCAGATAAGGTTTGTGACTGTAAATCCTCCCTTGAAAGACTTTGCTAGATGTGAATGAACAGAATTCACAATAAATTAATAAAAGACGGAACAAGGAGTTTGCTTCATGCTCTTGGGAAGCTAAGGTCAGAACAGGCTCATATTCCCTGCCCTCAATTTTTGTGATTTATAGAGAGTGAAATTATAGGCATGGCCCCTCTTACCTGTGACTGTATCGGTGAATGAATCTTTATAGTCCTCTAATGCTAATGTAGTGATTGGCATAATGGTGGTTGTTGTCCCTAACCCTGTTGAGACACAATAATAAAAAAGGTTGGCCATGCCACGTCAATGTGCCAGCAACACATTTCCAGCTTGTTGTCTGCTAAAGAGTTATCGCCATCACTCAATTTCCGGTGAACTATATTTTGGTCATTAAAATATTAAATGAAAAGCAATTGAAGGGTATTTCTAATAATTCTAAAAATAAGAAGATAGACAAAGAAGGTCCTTCAACCTAGCCTCTGGAAATCTTATAGTAGATCTAGTAGTAGATGCATGCCAAACAAAATTACACAAATTAATTAACCCCATTTTAACCAGCAAGTTTTGTGAATCTAGTTGTGTGATCAATGCCCGACTCAATATGTCATGTGAATCCAGAAAACTGGGTTAATTGAATACACCTTTGCTAATTATGGGAAACTTTATGGTGAGAACCTATCCAGTGCCATTTCTATGCCTAGTTCAAGACCCACAGTTTTTTGACTCACAAACCTCTGGTTTGACATGACGAATGACTGCCGGGGAAGCCTTATCTAGATCTAACTAACTTCCTTACTAGTAAAAGAAGGTAGGAATCAAATATGAGTTCATTTCTATTGTTGTGTTCCATCCTGAGAATCTTCTGCAGTGATTCAATTAACAACAGTGGCAAGACAGGTCATAAAATGGGGCAAAACTCACATAACAAATGTCTTGCTTAGCAACAAAAATTTTGGACTCTATTGTGGTTGTGAGTCAAGGACTACCTGTATTGGATATTTTGGGAGGTATTAAAAACAACAATCAAAATCTACTTACTTTCCTATTTCAGCTTCCATTGAAGATGGCCGAGTCCACCTTTTCGGCACCGAGTGCCCAAACTGGACAGGGGTGGGTTCCTGCCAGTTCTAACCTCTTCTATAGAAGAGGTTCCACAAATCTAGAGTGCCGTTTAGAACCGGTTCCAGCTCCCTCCCCCCGCCCGTCCGCACATCATCAAGATGAAGAACGAGAGGAGGAATTCTGGGAGTTGAAGTCC